TCAGGGAAATTGAAGAAAGAAATGACAGGGATATGTTTTTGTCCTGAGGATCAGAGAGTGCTGAGATTGAGAATTGGCCATCACTGTTTCCGAATGTCCCCCGTCCTCTTTCCCACGAGAAGGAAGTGAAAGTCTTTCCTGTAGACATGGCCAGAAAGTGAAAAGATGACATTATTATTTTTTAAATTAGTAATATGGTTACTTTTTCTTAATTACATAAGAAACACACAAATGATTGTAGAAAACTTGGAAAACAGCAACGTGCAAATATAGAAATAAAAATCTCCCTTAATCCAAGATAACTGCTTTTAACATATTGATATATTTCCTTCTATTCTTTCTTTTTTAAGTAGTAGCCTGAGGCTATGCAAACGTTCTGTGCTTAAGATCTATCCCTTTGCTTTAATTATATGTCTTCAGACTCTGTAAGACTTTAGGATTGCTTGAAATTTATTCTCATCATTTTCCCTGAGCACGCAGAATTATTTTTTCCTCTGGCTTTTTTACCTTTTCCTGTAAGTGGTAGCTCAAATGAAATCGGTATTTGTTAGTGTCTCTCTGCTGCCACCCTACTTTCGTTAAGTCACCATCCTGCCCTCCAGATAACCAGGATTGTTATTATTATTATTATTTTTGGTTTGTTTATTTTTTGAGACAGGGTCTCACTCTGTCGCTCAGGCTGGAGTGCAGTGGTGCAATCTCGGCTCGCTGCAGTCTCTGCCTCCTGGGCTCAAGCAGTTCTCCTGCCTCACCCTCCGGAGTAGCTGGGATTACAAGCACCAGGCATCATACCTGGCTACTCTTTGTATTTTTAGTAGAGACAAGGTTTCACCATGTTGGCCAGGCTGGTCTCAAACTCCTGACCTTGGGTGATCCGCCTGCCTCAGCCTCCCCAGGTGCTGGGATTTCAGATGTGAGCCACTGTGCCCAGCCAATCATGATTTTGTTTTTTTGTTGCAACTTTGGGATCCATTTTATTACTGAAATTTCAAGAATGTAGTATAAACACTCAATTTTACCAGCTCCAAATATTCTGATGGTGACCCCAAGTGAATTCTGATTTCTGAGACCATGATCGTTTTTAAAATGCTTCCACTCTTGCATTCTTTCCACTCTCTTTTTCTAGGCGATCTTTTCAAGCCACAAATCTGTTCTCATCATTCTTTGCTGGAAATCCTTTGCTGGTTATCTCCCATATTTAGGATAAGATAGAAAAGATATCTAACAAGTTCCTCATGTGCTCAGAGTTCCCAGCACACACGTCTTCTCTCAGCGCTTTCACTAACTTCAGTCACTTCCTGCCTCAGGCCTTTGCAAATGCTGTTCCTGCTGTTCCAAATGACTTCACCTAAGTCTTTAGTTGGCTAAAATGGACTCAGCCTCCAGCTCTCAGGTCAAATGTCGCTTCCCCAGAGAAACCTTTTCTTAACACTAGCCCTCCATATAGTCCCCTGAATAACCCTCTCATTTTTCCTTCACGTTACTTATTATAGTTTGTAATTATACCCTGTAATTATAGAGTTTGCATGTCCTCTCCCTGGATGAAGGGGCTTGTCATTCTTTGGAATTTAATTTATTTGGTTCCTCTGTAACCTCAGCTCTTCAGTGAGCTCATGAAAAGTTTGTGGATTTTCTAGCCTTTTCCAATTGCTACCTAATGTCTTTGTCCCTGATAGATATGTGTGTCCCTAAGTCAGAGCAAATCTGTTTTGTGAAAGGTTGTACCCTATTCTTCTTTCGTCCCTGGTCCCTAACTCAGCCACTGCCCTCACTTCCCCACCCCTAGTGCACTGACTGCCATAGATTAGATACTCAATCAATGCTTGTGGAATGAATGAGTGATGCTGATTCTTTCCTGTTGCAAATGCACAAGTGAGGAGTCATGACATTGCAGCATATTGGACTGGGAGGTCTAGGCAAATAACATGGTTTTCAACAGACCTTGGTGTGAGTAGCTTTCATATTTGCCATAATTTGTGAGTGATCCTAACGCTCCTGGCATATGGTACTCTGTGACTGTGGTGAGATCTGAGCTTGCATTGTATGTGCTGAGATGCCAGTGTGTGAGGCAGGTTCCTGCCTGGTGAACAAGATAGATTTTCAGTGCTGTAGCTACATCCTGATGTGGCTTTGCTACTCTGCTTCTTGCATCCTATGGGGATCTTCCTATAGGGAGAGTACATTCTAGAGCATCTCTGACAGCTGGTCAAGGCTCTGGGGTGGAATACCTTCAGGAAACAGAGCTCTCTGCCTCTGAATCAGCCTGGTGGACAGCTCTGGCTGTTAGCTAGAGCTTCCCTAAGTTATAGAGAGATTTAGCTTCCTTAGGACCTTTAACTATTGACTGCCTTCTGTTTTCCGGAGGAATATCAAGTTCATTCAAGGGCCATTTACTGAATGCTGGCCTTGCATATAGCAGGTGACATGCCAAGCACTAGATGTGGAGCTCTGGGTAAGACACACTTGAAAAGCTCAGCTTAGGGAATACCAAATTGCAGGTCACAATGTATTCTCACATAATTATCTCATCACAACAACTTCGCAATGTGTATGTTATTAGGCCCATTCTACAAGTGAGAAAATGAAGTCTTGAAGGATTTATGTGACTTGCCTGGGATTCCACAGTTTGCATGCAAGGAGATATAGCTTAATCTTAAATGTCTGGACTCCAACCTATTGTGCATTTTTTACTTCCCTAAGCTGAAAATAGTAAATTTCTGCTTCATGCAGCCCCTAGTGTATTTCAGCCTAGCTACTATACTCTCCAAATCATCTTTTCTCCTGCATAACTTGATTCCCAAAAGCATGATGATGGCCAGTAGGTCTTCTTTGGCTTCAATCACGTAGAAATACCTTTGCACGTTGCAGAAGGTCCTGGCTATTCTACAACACTCTTCCATTTGCAAATCAGGAGGGCCTCAGCCTTGAGTACAAAATTTAGAAGAGGAATTCAGGGTGGTTATTCTTCATAGGCAATGAAACTGGTGATGAAGCCTGGGACTTATTTCTAGGACAATTGAGGAGGTACTTTCCCAACAAGCATCTCAGCAGTGAAACATGATAGATGTTCAGATTTCCAGGACTAGATGTCTGACACTCGGGGCATCTTCTCTACGTCATCCCTGTTAGGGCATTAGCAGGCATCTGTCTAAATGGGTCACATTATAGACCACTCACAACCACCTGGGAAGTCTCTAATAGACGATCTATTAGATTTTGCTCAACATATAAGGAAAACATCTCTGTCATCGTGTAGCTCCTACTTACTGGTCTTCTTTTCGCTGGGCAGCTTAAGCACAGTGCCTCTCCAACGTGGCAGGCTGCGACACACTAAATATGCAGGGAGTACCAGCTGGGGCCCAGACCTGGCTGAGGCAGGTCTGGGCAGGCCTGGTGAATGGCCGCATGGGCCTGTTAGAGGCCTATGTGCACCAGAGACCACGAAGCCTCCTGGGAAGGAGCTCATCTTGAAGGAAGAAGGAACTGGGCATAAACACCTAACCTGGTCATGGAGCTTTAATTGCAGCAGGAAAGGAGAGGTTCTGAGCGTGACCTGCTGTACTGCTCACAGCCAAATCTGTCTCACTATTGGACTTCGTTAGATCAATGGAGAGCAAAATCTATGCATAAAAATGGAAAGAATGGTTGATACAAATATGTAGTAGTCACTGGGGGAACGAGCTCTGGGACTTGTCTTGAAACTAATGCAAAATGGGGAGCGGGCTTACTCCTCCACGGCACTGCAGAGCCAGTGGTTCTCTGGCCTTAGGAAGCCTTGAGCATCTCTGTGGTGGTAAGAACAGTAGTACCCAGCAAGAAGTAGCGGTGTCCTGTGTCCTGGTAGGGGCCTGGATCAGGCCAATGAGAACAGAACTGTGGGGACCAGAAAACTGCTGTGTGTGTTGAGCACACATGAGACACCCCCTAGACACTCTAGAAATATTGGGAGACACTTGAAAAGAGGCTGCCTTGCTGAGTGAGCTGGTGAAACTTGTAATTGTTGGCCGAGCATGGTGGCTCATGCCTGTAATCCCAGCCCTTTGGGAGGCCAAGGCAGGTGGATTGTCTCAAGTCAGGAGTTTGAGACCAGCCTGGGCAACATGGTGAAACCCTGTCTCTACTAAAAATACCAAAAATAGCCAGGCGTGGTGGTGTGTGCCTGTGGTCCCAGCTACTTGGGAGGTTGAGGCAGGAAGATCACTTGAGTCTGGGAGGCAGAGGTTGCAGAGAGCTGAGATCACAGTGCTCCTGTCCTCTCTTTTCCTGGATGAACATTCCCAGTGTCCTCAATTGTTTTTCCAAGTCCACCATTCTGAACCTTCCACCATTCTTGTTATTCTCTTTTGAAACCATTCCAGGCTGTGAAAGCCAAAGCTGTTTGCCTTGAGGATTTTCAGAAATCTTAGAATTAATCTGGCCTAGCATTCTTTTTTAGGCTACATGAGGGAAAGGCTCACAGATGCTAGAAGAGACTTGTCCCAACTCTCTGTCCAGTTGGGAGAAGAGCAAGGACTTCACTCAATGCACACAGCCCTGTTTTTTCCTTGATTCTCACCCATTTTTATTTCCCCTTTATTTTTCTGTTGTTGGGTTTGTTTCTGAGCCAGGGGCTTGCACCGTCTGGGCAAATGCACCCATTATGTTCTCATGGCCAGTCATGGTAGAGTTTTGGACTGTCCAGTAGTTGTCAGAGCATTTGGTTTTAACCCTCTAAGAGTGAGGGAAATAGACACAGCTTTTTACTGACCCTCAGGGACAGTGCATTCCCTCTGCAGAGGCCGGCAGGAGGAGCCCCTCAGTGGAAAGAGCATCTCTTTCCATGCAAGGAATAAGGTCACTGCAGGTGCTCTGTGCGAAGCAGAAGGTGACAGAGGAAGTATGGCCCAGTGACCCCAAAACAAGTGGGAAAATTGTCCATGTGGAATAACTTGGTGCTCAGACAGAAAATCCTCTAAGAAAAACTGACTGGGAAAATGTCCCGCTATCAACTGTGGTTCCAGATGGAGAGCTGGTGATGTCATGTGAGGAAGACTTGACCAGCCATTGTGAGCTTTGAAGATGGTGGAAGGGGCCATGAGCCAAGGAATGTGGGCAGCCCCTAGAAGTTAGAAAAGGTAAGAAAATATTTTCCCTGAGCCCCCAGAAAGAAACACTGCCTTGCCCACCCCCTGATTTTAGCCCTGAATTTAGGAATGATTTCAGACTTGTGACCTCCACAAGTATAATACATTCTTGTGGTTTTAAGCCACTATATTTGTGGTATTTTGTTATAGCAGCCATAGGAAACTAATTTAGATTTCTATTCTTTTCCACCCATGACTCATAAAGGAAATGTTTCTTACCTTTGGCCTACAGTTCTTGTTCAGTTGCTCAAGCTCCTTCCCTTAGGACACCAGGACAGAATCGCTAAGATTGCTAAGACCCCAGGACAGTTTCCGGTAAGAATGGCTATAAAAGCACCACCAAGATTCAATCTTTAAAAGGCAGTGGCACAGATTATGCATTTCCCTATAAACTTGAAGTGTGTGGTTGGTGGGGGAGGGTACAGAGAAGCAGGTTCAGAGCTGGGCATCAGCCCTTCGAAGTCACTGTCACACCACGCAGCTTGTTCTGGGGACACAGGGTTGGGCTGGGACTCCCCACATTGGCCCTCAGTTTTCTTACCTGTGAGTTGAATATCCAGTGACCTCAGGAGGCCTCTTTGATGTTTTATCATTTGAAGTAATGAAATGATGCTGGAGAACTGAAAAATCATGCAACATTTTCTTTTCTTTTGAGATACAGTATCACTCTGTCACCTAGGCTGGAGTGCAGTGGCACAACCTTGGCTAACTGTAGTCTCTGCCTCCCGAGTTCAAGTGATTCTCCTGCCTCAGCATCCAGAATAGCTGGGACTACAAGTGTGCATCACCATGCTTGGCTAATTTTCGTATTTTTAGTAGAGACAGGGTTTCACCATGTTGGCCAGACTGGTCTCAAACTCCTGACTTCAAGTGATCCACGCGCCTCAGCCTCCCAAAGTGATGTTACAGGCACGAGCCACCACGCCTGGCCAAAATAATGGAACACATTCTAAATACCAAGCATGTTAGTTACATAATTTCATTAGTTCCTCACGGCAGTTCTGCAAGGTCATTATGTCAAGTGGGTTCCGTTTTACGGATGAGAACATAGAGGCTGAGAGAGGTCGAGCAGTTTTTCAAGTCATCCAGCTAGTAAGCTGAGGAACCAGGAATTATATCATGACGTCAGAAGCCTATGCTTTTCCCTGTGACATCATGACACCTCCCCAGAAGGGCCCTGGGCCTGGATCATGCTGAGGACAGGATCCGGGTGGCCAAACTGCAGGCTGAGTCCAGGAATCATGCTCTTGGGGAAAATTTTTTGGCATGCTGGGATGGCAAAACTTGGGGTGACAAGAATAACTCTTTGGCAGCACAAGTGTCTGTGAGTTTGTTTCTTTTCCTGACTTGCCTGGGAGCCAGTTCTGTGGTCTTGCCTAAGTCACTTGTCTTCCCTGGGCTTCAGTCTTCTGGTCTGTGAAATGGGGAAGATGGACTAGAATCAGTGTTTTCTACTCATTCTTGTTTTTAAAAAAAATCACGTCCCATCAGCTAAGGAGATTCTGTTGAGTGTTTCTTGCTGCAATTTACGTTCCAAAAGCAAGTAATTTTCTTATTGCCAAAGTAAATCATAAATGTCCTCCCTTCCTCCCTCCCTCCTTCCTTCCCTCCCTCCCTCCTTCCTTCCCTTCCTTCCTTCCTTCCTTTCTTCCTTCCCTCCTCCCCCCACCTCCCTCGTTTTTCTTTCTCTTCTTTTCCTCTCCTTTTTCCTTTTCTTTTCTTCTTTTCTCTGTTTTTGAGATGGAGTCTCCCACTGGCTCCCAGGCTGGAGTGCAGTGGCATGGTCTTGGCTCATTGCAACTTCCACCTCCTGGGTTCAAGAGATTCTCCTGTGTCAGCCTCCCAAGTAGCTGAGGTTACAGGCATGCACCACCATGACCCGCTAATTTCTGTACTTTTAGTAGAGAAAGGATTTTGCCACGTTGGCCACGCTGGTCTCAAACTCCTGACTTCAGGTGATCTGCCTACCTCAGCCTCCCAACATACTGGGATTACAGGCATGAGCCCTCGGGCCCGGCCAAAATGTGCTTTTTTAAACTACACATTCCTCTCTCCATCCACCTCTCTTTCTGGGTGATGTGGTGATCTTTCCTCCGACCTGACATCTTGCCCCCTCTTGAGAGCCCTTTACTTGATAGTGAGAATTTTCTCTGCATTTAAGATTATTGGAGCCTAAGAAGATATCTATCTATTCTGGAAGAGAGGAGACAAGACAGACCTTCTGAGTTGCCCATCTCTCCTCCTGGAACCTCCCCCTGCCCCCACTATTTTTCTTTGCCTGGACCATTTATCTCTCTGTGTTCCCCTCTAGGCCACCCCTTGACTCTCATGTCTGCGAAGCAGCAGGCAGGCCGCCCTCCTGTTTGAGCGGGCCATCTCTCAGCAAGATTGCAAGAGCAGTTATCTTTTATTTCTGGCATGTGCTGCAACACAAGAGTGATCCCAGCTTCAGAGATGATCACCTCTCATCTTTTATTCTCCCTTTTCTCCTCTCCTTTTTGTCCCGCAAGATAATAAAATTACCAGACCAGCCCTCCCTTCCTGGAGGCCTTGTCAGAATTCAGAGATACTTACTTCCCCGGTAAACAGCTGTAATCTCCCCAACCAGGCTTTCTCGCAGTTAAGTGAGTTAAATTATCCTGGTCTAATCCCCCATGTGCTGTGGTTTTTTGAGTCTAAAGCTTTTGACGTCTTTTGATATACAATGTCAACTCTGGGCCACTGGATCTGATTAGGCATCAGGCAAAGAGTGACTAGCCTGGAAAAGAGGGGCCTCTCTGCCAAACAGCTTTGGGTGGAAAAAAAATACATGGAAAGAAGCTTTGCTCCAGAGAGGAAAGAAGGAGGGATATGTGGGCGTTCGGCAGGGCCGGGGATGTCCTCAGTCATGCAAATCCTTCGTGCCCAGTCAGGAACAGGAGGTCCTGAATCGAGCCAGCCCGCCCACTGCCCACGCCCTTCTGTTTGCCCTGACCTGTACCGGACATAGCGACCCACGCAGGAGGAGCAGGTGGCAAGGTATCTGAGCTCAGGTGACACGCCAGTTTCACTGGGAGACACAGATGTACCTGAACCTCTAGGAAACAATACAGGGGCAGATTAGGATCAAAGGCTAAGTCACACTTGGTTCAAAATTTCAAAATCTAGGGTGTGGGGAAGTTTCACAGAGGGTTAGAGGATGGGAGATATTGTTTGACAGGCAGGTGTCTGAATGCAAATGGAGGTTAGACCTATTCTTGAAGATTGCAGAGGTCATGCGGGTGTGTGCGTGTGTGTGCATATGTGCGTGCACGCGTGTGTGCACATTGGTGTGTGTGCATGTATGTGTTTATGTGTGTGTGTGAGTGTGTAATGGTGGTGTCAGGGGGTGTGGCAGAGCAGCCTTCCAACTACCAGAATTAGCAGAAATAAGCTCAGGAGTAGGAATGAGCCTGGTGTGGTGGCATCCAGGGGGGACACGTGTGGACTCTTTTTTCAAGCTCAGGGGCAGTGGGTGCCCTGAAAGGGCCCCGGCTCAGAAGCAGTCCTTGTTTCTATGTATATATGCTGCACCTTGGCTTTTCTTTCTTGTCGACCTTCCAGTCACTCCTAAATTCGGTTCCCGCTCTCTGCCTCTCCCAGCCTGCCAGGCTGCCCGTGCCTCCGCCAAGCAGTGACATTTTCCCAAGCACAGCCTGTGCCGTTTAAAGCCTGAATGTGCTTTGGGGGTTGACTCCCCCTGCCATCCTCCCTTTGAGCGTGCGCGCGCGTGCGTGTGTGTGTGTGTGTGTGTGTGAGAGAGAGAGAGAGAGTACCGATTTTTGGCCTTGAATCCCCATTAAAAAGCAAAGGAAAGTCAATTGCCAGGGCTGAGGATTAATGAGCAATTCATGGAGCCTGATAAACTGCCCACCTGTCCCCACCGCTAGCCGTCCTTGGATGCAAGCAGAGTCATCCGCAAGTTATTCTCTCCTCTGAGAGCAGCCCCAACAGCCTGGTGGGGGTACTGCAGGGGAAAGGAAGGTTTCATTCACTCAAGGTCCTGCCTGGGGAAGGACAAGGCCCCAGGCCACCTGTCCAAGGGCTTCTCTCTTCTGCTGGTCGCATCTCCCTGTAAAGCTGCAGGAAGCATGTCCTGAATCCCTTCTCCATTCTCAGGTTTTCATCTCCTCTCTTCCAGCAGCCAGTCCTGCCAGGGCTCTGGCCATGCGGGGACAGTGAATGGCCACCCCGTCCCAGTTGAGCTGCAGGAAGCGTTCCCATGTCATGTGGAGCTGGGTACCTTCTCCCCACCCTCGGCTCTTGTTTTTGAACACATTCCTTGCAGCTCTTCATGGCCTGCTTGGGCTCCTCACTCCCAGAGGCCTCCCCTTGCTCTTCCCCCTAGCTTTTTGTTTTCATCTCCATGCTTGTCTCCTGCAGAACCCCCTTGTTGCATCTTGTTGAAATGTGTGCCTTTTTTTTTTGAGACGGAGTCTTGCTCTGACACCCAGGCTGGAGTGAAGTGGTGCAATCTCCCCTCACCGCCTTCTGGGTTCAAGCTATTTTCCTGCCTCAGCCTCCATAATAGCTGGGGTTACAGGCATACACCACCATGCATGGCTAATATTTTGTATTTTGAGTAGAGACAGAGTTTCACCATGTTGGCCAGGCTGGTCTTGAACTCCTGACCTTGTGATCCGCCCCTTTCGGCCTCCCGAGTGCTGGGATTACAGGCATGAGCCACTGTGCCGGGCTTGCATCTTAAAACAATAAAAAAGGATCAAAAGTAGGGTGTTTTCTTTAGATACCTGTCACTGAAACACCAGCCCTCTCTCCCCTGCAAAATTTATCTTTACTTCTTTTCTGCATCGGTAATAGGTTTTTGGGTGGGGAGGGGATTAAGCATATGTCTTTCTTGCTGTAAGTGCCTAACAGATATGAGGCATTCACTGTGGGTTGTCATCTTCTATGCACAGTTGGCGGGAGCTGGATTTGAAGGGGTTCAGAAGCAGCAGAGAGATGGCCTGGGCTGTCCTGCTGGGGAGGTGCTCTGAGCTGTCCAGGGGTGCCCAAGACACTGGCTTCACTGGTGACTAAAAGGGAGGCAGGGAGGGAGAGCTTAGTGGGGCCCAGAGAGGAGACAGGGCATAGATGGTAAAGGTGACTCAGTTTCCAATCATGAACCCTACTGGTTTCTTTTTCTCTCTAAAATATCTTCTTCCCAGGGGCTAGTGAGGTGAGGGGGGCCGTGATGGGGAGGGCGTGGATGCTGCCAGGACTAGCCTAGCTTTCTGCATGGGCTGCGTCCTATAAACCCAGATTGGGACTGGCAGGGGCACCTCTCCAGAGGGAGGCTGAGTATGCTTGGCTCTCTGCTGTGCTTGTCTGCGCAGCTTCTGCAGCTCCCTGCCCTACTCTGGACATCACTGTCTAAAGCCACCATGATGAGACTCCCTCACCCCATACATTTGTTCTCCATGCAGTGACAGAAATGTAATAATTTTAAGATTATAAGTCCTGAATACTGAAATGCTGTAGACAGCTGTTGAAATGATAAAAAAATCAATCAGAAGAATATTTCTACAGCACCTACCACAGCCAAAGCTTTGAACATAACATTGTCCATCACAAGACTATTAATAAAACAGTGGTAATCATATTGATTGATACCATTCACAGAATGTCTTTGATGTGCCAGGCATTTTCTCATCTACTTTTGACAATAACCCTTTTATCTCCAGCTGACAGTTGAGGAAACAGAGTTGAAGAGGTTGAGTAACTTGCCAAAGGCTATGGAAGTACTGCAGGGGTAAGACTAGGATTCAGACTTAGCTCCAGTGCCAAGCCCCAAAGCCAGGAAGTTCGTGAAGACAGGAACCGACCAAACCAGGAAAACATGGTGCGTGGACAGTGAATCTCAGAGGAGGCGTTCAAGGGAGCAGGTCTGTGGATGCTAGCGTGGCGACAGAGGTTTCTGGAAAGAGTTGAGGTGTGATCTGGATTTAGGCAGGTATGGGGTGGGTAGAGCCATTTCAGGATGGATTAAGGCATGTGAGGTGAGGAGGTGAGGGAGAGAAGGATGGAGGCTTGGCTCCAGGAGGTGGTGGGAATCAGGGCAGCGAAAGTTAAATGCTGGAGTCCCACTCATTCTCTCTGTGAATTTGGGGGCAAGTTAATGAAAACGTCAAAGCCCCAGTTCCTCAACAGTAAGGCAAGGGTAATAATAGTGCCTGCTGTGCCTTTCTGTGTGAGGATTGCAAGGTAACTCATGCCAGGCACTCAGTTCTGCCTGGCACCTGTGCCACTGCTACATCAATGTCCTTTGGAGCTTGAAAACATTCTGCCCTGTCTTCATAGGCTCCTAGGTTTTTGTGTCATCTTAATTCTTCTGCCTTCTTCAGGGTCTTCAGCCACTGAGTCACCCAGTTCAGCTGATTCATTCCCTGCTGTCACCACCTTGTTTGAGATCCCTGACGTGATGTGCC